ATTCTGTGGCATTTTCAGCCTCCCTCTCTGGTTGAAGCCCTCATCTTTCCCAGGGAATTAATTCTCTAAGGATCTGTTTTCCAGTGAGTTTCCTGCCTCCAGCAGCACGTGAAATCCCATGCAGCGTGGAGGTGGCCAATGGGGTCTTCGGCTCTGCCAGGGGAGGGTACAACAAGGTCATTTGTTACCTCTGCTGATGGTGCTGGGGGAACAGATAGCAATGTGAGTGGCTTTGTAGTGTGGAAGAAAGGTAGGGTGCAGAAAAGAACAACAAAAATACAGACTCTGGATTTTTTAGTTAAGATAGAGTGGCATCTCATTGAAGTAAATCACGAGTGCTTCTTCCCAGGGTGGAAATACAGGAGAATAAAGGTCTCTCCAAGGGAGAGATCCTGGAGGAACCAAGGGGTCAAATCAGCACCTTCCTGCCAGGCTGTATCAGCTGAAGGCCTGGGGTTGCCTGCAGCCATCTCCAGCAGGACATGTCCCCCACCCTCCCAAGTCATTCCCAGGCACTGTCTTTGCAGAGCTGCTTTTTCTCGGAAGCACAGCAGACATCATGCCCATTCTTCCCAGGGCAGCTTGGCAGGATTATTTTCCCATGTTTCCAGTCCAAAACCTGCTCGTTCTGGCTGAGCTTCCCTTGCTTTGCTAGTGATGGGTCCACCCCATCATGCAGAAATGGAGCATCCTCAGGAACAGTTTGTCATGTTTTGCCTCTGTATTGGCCTTCCCCAAGGAACAGGGAGAAGCTACTTCTCCATCCTTGTGCAAGCTCCACCCTGAGGGGCATTGTGCAGACACCTTTCAGCTGGTGCAGCACTGAACCCCTGCTCCAGCCCTGTACTGACCCAAACCTCATGTCTCTGAAAACCCCACCTAGTTGAAGGATGGACTTTTAGCACTGGTCTTCATTCACACTATTATTAAACAAAAGAACTACTGTTAAGTGCTGTCAAAAGCCAGAAAATCATGAGGTGTAAATTTTGTGTCTTTATGAGCAGAACAGACTGATGCTCCAGGAAATGAGGGCCACTACTTTCCTCCCAGCTGGTATTTTTCTTCCCCAGGAAACCTCCAGTTTAGTTATTCCAAAGTCCTTTCCCACCATTATCAAACCTCACATGGGCCCATGTGACTTTGTTGTCTCTGTGCAGAAACCAGTGGCTTTGTAACCCCACCACTGTTCGATTAAAAAGCAAATATTTCTGTCATGCCCAAGGCAAAGCATTGCTGCAGAGCCACCACCAAGCAGGGATTGTTTTGTGCAAATCATTTTTTTGTGGCCTGCTGGAAAAAAACCCTCATTGCCACATCCAAATGTGTTTAGCCAGCACAGGCAAAAAAAAAAAACCTAATAAAAATCTGAGGTGTAAGGGAGAATTAAAGAACAGTTTGTCAGCTCTAGGAGCTCCAGGGAGATTGTTTCTCACAGCAATTAGCAGACAAGACATCGATGGTGCTGGTCTGGCTTAAAGCATTAGAACTTTGGAGGGGAGAAGAGTCCAGGCTGGGTTGGAGCAGAGGTTTGTGCTTCTGGTCGGGCCACAGAGAGGCAGGTGGAGCACAGGCACAGGGGGACACTTGTCAGGTCTGGGTCATAGCAGTTGGTTAAATTTTTTTTTTTTTTCCTTTTTGGCAGGATTTTATGCAAGTCACACTGTGTGAAGTTTGAGATGTGGGGATGATGAACTCCTGGCAATGGACGCATCACTGAATTCCTAACCCAAATCCCACCCTTCACCTGGCATTTTTAACAATATCCAGATGGCAGACTCAGGGCTTCGACTCAAGCAAATGCATAATGAAAAAAATCAAGTGTGGGGAAGCTTAGATGAAGGCCAGTTAATTAAAGCTTTGAAGCCTGTGATGTATTGAACAGTAGTTTGTAATTTGTCTTAATCATTATTGCATGACTGACTTTTAGTAGCATTTGGCACCAGGTTTGACTTTTTAAAGAGATGGCATCACGCATGGTTTTGCTCCTTGTTTTTTGTATGTAAATTACCTGTGGAGAATCTTTATACGTGGCATTTCAGGGTTTCTTCAAGAGGAAGAAATTACAGCTGTTAGGTGTATTGAGCAAAAATTAAGACATTTCACTGCATTATACAGCCTGTCTCCTAACAAAAAAGGGGGATTGGAATATTTTTTTCCATATTTTATTTGAAAAGAAAGCTCTTCTTAGCCTTTCAAAAAATTCTTATTGACCTTTCTTCCCCCAAGCATTTTCCAGGTCTCTGGCTGCTGCCCAAACACTCTCCTCCCAGTGTTACATCCGGTCACAGATCCCTCTCATGCACCCTGTGCCTGCCTGTTCCCTCTTTAAATACTTTTGGCCACCGTCCATGCCCTCACCCTGCAGCCCTGGGATGGATCTCATGGTTCCCCTCTGATCCCAGGCCCTTCAGCAATACTGAAACCCATCAGGGAAGCTCCACCAGGAACTGCAGGACAAATGGCACGTAGCTCCTCCTAAAATAAAGCAACAGTGCCAGCAGCAGAAATCAGCTACTGTGCAAGCAGAAACGGTTTTGTGTCACGGACTGGCTGAAAAATGGAAGTTGTGAAGAAAGCAGGGAAAAGGTGAGTCAGCCTTCCTGTGCTGGTGAAGAGGGAAAGATGAATTGTCCTTCCTGGTTTTAATGTTGATTGTTTGGGTTTTTTTTCCCCCCCCCAGTTTGCTGCTTTCCTGCTCTCTGGAGGTGGATGGAAAACTTCTCGATAAGAACGAAAAAATAAAACTGTGTTGGGTTCATACTCGGGAAGTGGCTTTAAAAACCAGTCCCACAGAAAAGTTAGTAAATCAGTGAGGAATAAGCTATGTCCTTTCATCAACAATGTGAAAGAGCAATGAAGTGTCTTGGTGTCCTTGAAAAAACAGCAAGACATGGTGCTAACTCCCACTGCAGTGATCCCTGCAAAACAGAGATGGGATGGGAGGCCCGGGGGCTGGAATTGCTAATAGGCCTGGGCAGGGAGGCTGCTGTGACAGCTCCAAGCAAGGGTAGATGATTACCTGTATGGCTCATCTCAGTGGAGGGGTGGCTGGGAAGGTTAATGCACAATTATGGATTCTGGGTATGTCCCTGTAAAGGTTAATACACACCAGAGTGCATCCAGCAAAGTTTCTAAAAAAGGGTCTTGAGCAACCAGAGTGGGCTCTGGGACAAATAACTGGAAGGATGCTTCAAATCTGTGGCCTGAAGCAAAGTTCTAAGGATTTTTCTTTTACCTGCTATCCAGAGAGAAGCTGTGTTATTTTTAGAAATCTGACTGTGACACCTATCACATACCCGGGAAGATGGAAACTAAGTTTGAGGGTGCTCTCCTGGCTGAAATCCATGAGGAGAGATATTTTAGGCATTAATGTCACTCCATGTGGCAGGGGCTTTCCTGCAGAATTGCCAGGAAAGAGGTAACAAACTTCCCTCCCTAGAGCTGGCTGCTTCCTGCAGACTGCCTTTGAGTCAGGCAGGAGTTTTGACACCGAAACATTTAAGTGCTGTTTTGGGTGAGCGTCCTGCAAGCCTTTGATTAGAGCAGTGCAGTGCTCATTAGACTGACTTGTTTTAGCAGCTGTCCAACACAGGAGAAAAGAGAAATCATTAGAAGTAAACTCTGTGTTGCTCTTTCAAATATTATGACCCATCATTGCTCTGACAGTCTCTGAACAATGGCATAAATGGGCTGAGTAATGTGACCGAGTGTCCAGAAAAGCCTTTTTCCAGAAAACAAGGGTGGTAAATCACATGATGCCCCATGAGATGGGGTGTTTTGCCAAATTACTGCTTCAGGGGAAGTGAGAACAATTTCAGCAACTGGAACGTTACTTCATCAGTTTCAGACCCTCAGGATTCCCATCGCCCTTTCTTCCCCACCTCCCACCTTGCTGTTTTCATTTTTAATTGGTGATGTCTGCCAAAGGCTAGTGGTTACCTCTATTTGCTGCCAGAAAAGCCTATTTTTTTCTCTTTTTAAAGAGCTTAGAAAACACTCAGAGGAAAATGGGAAGGTTTCAGTTCCTCTTTTTACTACCAGCAGACAATCCTGTAGAATCAAATGCAGGCATCAAGGGGCACTTAGGTGTAAGACATCACCACAACAGCCTTTCAGTCTCTGTTGAATTTACCTTGATGCACAATTCTGTTTTGTGCCACATGAGACACACGACCAAAACACCAGCAAACTCAACTAGGACAACTATTTTTTGGCATTGCAATGTAGGACAGAGCCTTTTATGCTGTGCCTCTAGAACTCATGTCCAAAATGGCCAACAGATATGTTGGAGCCTTGCATGGTAGAAATAAAAAGCGACCACCTGCAACAAGCTGGAGGTAGATCAAGGAGCTAACGTCACCTGCAAAGACTTGAAGATGTGATTTTGTCCTCCTCACCATGCACACAGGTCATGGAATTAATGATATGGTTCAGTGCTGTTCAAATACTCTCATAACCGTGACTGCTTAGGCCACATCGATGCTGCAGCACTGTTTTATGGCACGTAGTAGTTCTACATTAATACAGCTAAAACAGCTGGGAAGGTTTCTTTTATTGAGACTTTCCTATAAATGTCTGATTCTGTTTCTTCATGAGTGTTTGAGCTCTCTACTCCAGCTGCTGCCTTCTATGAAGTGCAGCTAATAACCACCAGGAGCAGCTGGACAATTAATTCCTTACAACTGTAAAATGCTCTGGTATGAACAGAGGAGGATTTGCCATGTATTTCTCCTTGGTGTTTCTAGGCTGAGTATTCTGTTCTTTGAAACCAGCTGATTTCTGCATAGAAACAGAAATGGAAAATAGAAATAAAATTGTTGTATCCTCTCTCTCCCCTTCCCCCAGTCATTTCATAAAGAAGCAGGGACTACTATGAAATATTTTAATTTTAACTCTGGATCACAGAATCTTGGATACACATTTTAGAGGTCTTTCCAATGGTAAATTGAGCAGGATTGGACAAAGACATCACTGCCACGTGGGACCTGGTCCTGTTGTGAGCTGCCATGGGTGTTTTCATTTGCCCTGAACACAGCTGAGTGTGGAGAGCCCTTTGGTCACCAACCTGCCTGTGCCCAGAGGTGCCCATGGTTACCAACCAATGCATGTGGAGTGGTCTCATGCAGTTTCAAAAGTCTGAGACTGGGTTTTGTCTTGGCTCTTCAGGCCACCATGAGGATATTTAGAGGTTGGCTAGCCATGGTGATGTATTTCCAAGCATCTTAAAGTCACGTCTGATTTCTTTATATTTAAACATAATCCAAGGAAAATGAGGGACCATTTTCATGAAATAATTCTTTGATAAAAATGATGAATGGAGAAAGAAAGAACCATTACAAGAAATGCATAAATTAATATACACACATCCTCGAACTGCATTACACCATCAAATCCCAGCTTGCTTCCATGGCTTAAAGATTATTACACCTGGAGATGCCACACTAAAACAAATTAGTATCTTGGCCATTTGATGTCCTGAGCTTACACTGCTCCCATTCAGCCATTCCTTTCAGTGCTTTCCTGCGTTCCAATGAACATGTGATCCATGCTGAGAGAGGAGAGCATGGGGCACATCCAAGCTCCTCCTGTGCGAGGATCATCCCATCTGGATAGATGTATCTGGGCTGAGAGCTGCAGAATGAAGAAAACTTCTGTTCCTTGCACACATCTCTGTTAAAATTCTTAGATGTTAAAAGTGTCCTTGCTGAACCTCTGGACACACAAGTGCAGTGGATGAGTGGAACATGGGGACAGTGGGACAAGCTGCAGCCAGAGATGAGAGTCCAAGAGATGCGGCCAAAACTGCTCCATGATGGGAATTTTGCTCAGAGATCCTCCTGGTGGGTTGCGGTGGTGAGGAGCTGGGTGTTTCACAGTGTGCCAGCTGCAGCTCTGCTCCTTGTAGGGGTGCCTGGAGGCTGGAATGCCCCGTGACAAAGCTGCTGGCAGCCGTGAACGGGAAGCGTCCGTGTGAGGTTCAGGTTTGCTCCGGAGCTTGCCTCCTCTCCGCCAGCCCCGTCACGGGCTGCTCCTGGGACAGGGAGCTGTGCTCTGAGCCCCGCAGCAGCATTCCCAGGATGGCCAGGACTTCTTGCAGGCCCTGGCCGGTGTGGGCACTGCAGCCCCGGAGCATCCAGCGGTGCCTCGCCAGCCCCCCCAGCCGCAGCATCTCCCCCAGCTCGGCAGGAGCCAGCGCTCCCGGCGCGTCCTGCTTGTTGGCCAGCAGGAGCACAGGGACGCCAGCCATGCCGGGGTGGCTCAGAGCCTCCTCCAGCTCTGCCATCGCTTCGGCCAGCCGGGCCATGTCTGTGCTGTCAAGCACGAAGATGAGGGTGTTGATGTCCTCCAGGTAGTTAGGCCAGCTGGCCCGCAGGCTGTCCTGTCCGCCCACATCCCAGAGGGTGAAGGATATGCCGCAGGGTGTTTTCAGAGCCTCCACGTTGAATCCCACCGTGGGGCAGGTCTCCACAGCCTGGCCGCTCTTCAGTTTGTACAGCAGGGTGGATTTGCCAGCAAAGTCGAGCCCCAGCATGATAACTCGAGCATCTCTTTTCCGCCAGCCTTTGGAGATCAGCTTCCCCATCAAGATACTGCCGGTGGCGGGGGGAATGCAGACAAAATAAAATAGCGAGCAAGCGTGTTTCCTGGATGATGTCGGTCATTAACTGAGGGCTCAGTCCTGCCTCTCCGAAACAGCAACCTAGGTTTGCTGAAGGAAGATGCGGGCAGGCGGCTTTTGCTTCTCTCTGTAGCTCAAATGAGGTGAGAGCAATTATTTATGAGGTGCGCAGCAGAGCCAGGAGTGATGTTCACAACAGCAGTTTCTGCACCCCGGCTCCGCTGCTGCTCGCTTCTTTTCATTCAGGACCCGAAGGGATTGGTGCAAAAGAGAGCTAACATTTCGCAGGAAGAGGTGGGGAGACTGTGGAGTAAGTTTCCTCCTCAGCACATACATAAATAAATGAGCTTCTGTTCATTGGCTTGTACAGGAGAAATCCACCCCCGGCAGGACAGGACAAGGAGGAACCCGGGCTTCAGACCAGGGTTACTCCAGGAATTTGCTGAATCACAGCTCAAGGGCGGGGATTTAAAGCCTCTTGAGCAACAAGAAGATTTTTCTGCCATTCTTATGTTAAAAAGTACAAAACAAATCACTGTATCATCAGCTTTTACTACCTTTTGTGCAAATGGTAACAGCAGCAATTTTAAAAAAATGCACACAAGCATGTTTTTTTAAAGTCTTACTGAAATACAATGAATCAAAATGCCATTCCTGGGGCAAAAATCCGTAAAATTCTTTACATCAAAGTATTTACGACATTTTAACTTTTTTAAGTGAAGCAAAATCAGTCCTCTGTGGCTGAGGGGGTACAAAAATCCCCTAAAAGAACAGAAAACTGTTTAATAAGACAGCAGCCCTTGCACTTCACATGCCAGAGGCAAAAAATATGCTGCTGCAACAACTCCCAGACTCGCTTGTGCAAGAGCAGCTGACGGCAGCCAGCAGAGTCCCAGCAAAACTAGGATTTATTTCCCTTCTTTAGTGGCTGGGTTTTGCTCCTAAGAGGCTGCTTAGAGGTGTGCAGTAAGGCAGAGCTGCTCTCTAGCCACCTTTATCTGAGAAAGAAATGGGAGTCAGCCCTGCTTGTCTGGGCCCACAGGGGAATTTTTAACACATCTCTGGGAGATGCAGTTTCCTCAGCAATAATCTCCACATGACAGCTCCATGTCGCAAGCATTGCTGGGGATGAAGTTCAGCACAGCACGTGGAAGGGACTGCCTGGTCAGCTGGTCACTGAGAGGCATATTTCTTCCTCTGGGGGTAAGATACTTCAGTTTTCCATCTTTTACAGAAAGGAAGATGCATGAGAAAAAAAAAGAACGCAAGGAGTCCAGCCTACTTAGGCTGCATGGGATTGCAAGGAGTACAAAACAGGCCATGTTTTGCAAGATAGCTCTGTGATAAATCTCTCTCCCATTGTTAACCCACACAGCTGGTTGGCACCAGAGCCTCCACAAGATTTATGCAGCTTGTGAATGTGTAAGATGGGTTTTAGCAATTGTGGAATACCAGGTTGGAAGGACCTCGTGGATCATCTGGTCCAACCAACCTTTCAAGGCAAAAGCACGGTCTAAAAGAAGATGAGCACCTCTCCAGCCAAATCTTAAGTGTTCCCTGGTGCTGGGGAACACACCACTTCCCTAGGGAGATTATTCCAACGGTGGATTGTTCTCATTGTGAAAAGTCATCCCCTTGTGCACAATCAGAATCTCCCCAGGAGTAAATTGTACCCATTACTGCTCATTTTTTTCCACAGACCCCTTGTAAAAAGGGATTCTCCATCTTCTTTGTAACCACCCTTTAAATATGGGAACACGGTGATCAGGACTTTCATAAGCCTTTTTTCTCAAGAGTCAACAATAAAATTGTGCAGCATATGATTGTGATCTTTTCTAAAACCAGTCTGTAAGTACAAAATTGGCAGAAAGCTCCCTAGATGTGGATAAGAAAAGAGAACTGTAATGCACAGTGGATTCTGGCCCTTCAGGGCACTGCTTGCACACCCTGAAGTGTGTGTTGCTGCCCGAGGGTTATCCTTTTGTCCATGTTCTTCACTTTTTAAAATAAATCCTTGATCTGCTTGTTCACCATTTTGGAATAACCTTCCCATATTTCATTGTCCTTTAAGATCAGTATAGTTGATATTTTTAGATATAACAGTGGGTCAAGTGAATTGTGTCTTCATCTTTTCATATTTCTCCTGCCTTTGCTGCTGCTCATCCTCTCTGAGACTTGGCAGGCAGTGGTGACACACATCTGTTTCATCTGACCAGACATTAATAGTACCACAATTTCCTTCAAGTAAATTAAAATACAGGTATGGGAAGCAGGGATAGAGACTCTACCATTCCGTGAATAATTAGGCGTTTGAAATATGATGTGATGGAGTCTTTGCATCACCCACTCACACGCTACAGAAGAAGGCTACTTCTAAAAAAACAAAAAGAAAGGAAAAGGGAAAGGGGGAAAAGGGAAAAGGAAAAAGAAGAAATAAAGCCAGAATAAAGGATGCAACTAAGCACAGTTTTACTGATGATTCCCTTCAGGTTTTCTATGGTACAGAATACAGTAATTCATGGGCAAATAGAGGAAACTCTATGTTCTTTTTATTTTTTCACATGCTTATAACCTATGTATTGAACCTATTTTCTTTCTTCCTGACAATTATTCCAAATACAGGGTGCAAACTGTGCCCACAGAGCCTGTTCCACCCACAACTACGTTACAAAGGCATAGTATTTCCAATAAATAATACATAGGAGCAATTACAAGTCTGTTTAAGAAAGAATGAAAGAAAAGAAAGTAAAAGCAGACAAGATGAGTTCTGAGTGCATCTATTGCTGGAACAGAAAGGCCAGGTACTAAATAATTCAGACATTGTGTTCAGAGACAAGGACAGCCTCTATTCAAGCTGTGTCTTCTGTGGACAGAATAAATGTTCTTGTCTTGTGTGTCATGTCCCCGAATTCTCAGAAGCAATGCTAATTCCATTTATAGTTTCACAGAATTTCAGTCCATTTATTTGTTTACTGGTTTTTTAGGCATGCATTTCTCTGCTTCCTAGATACACATTCCAAAAAAGAGCAATAATCAGTACTAGCAATATAGGAGAGAATCCCCCCTCCTTCCCATGCCCCAAATATTCCAATTACAGGGATTTTTGTCCTGATCACGATATTAACTCACATTTTTTCCAACTTCTGCCACCTCTTTGGAAGGCAGCTCCAGGGAGACAACCCTTCACAGAGCCAGGAACAGCAGCTGTAGTTCTGCTCCTTGTGAGTGTACATCCAAATGGCATCTGCTTGGAACAACAAGCACATCTCAGTCCAGCAAAGGCAGAGTATGTTTCCCCATCCAGACGTGTTTGTGTCCCTGAGAAAGGCCACCAAAGCCACCGTGCACCCAGCCCTGCCTGTGTTTCCTGCAGGATCTCCTCACTAGATCATACATGAAAGCACCACCCATGGAGGGCATGCTCAGAGCAGCAGCTGGTGAGAAAGCCCGCTGGGAGCTGAAGGAGGCCTGGACACAGGCAGATGTCTTGACCTGCAGAGCCCACCTGTCCACTGCTGGCTGTCACTTTGAAGGGGACTTCCCTGTGTTTGGCCTGTGAGAGTTCCTTGTGCACCTGCTGGGATCACTGCATTTGACCTAGCCAGGGCTCCAGACTAAAACCACAGCAAAGCCAAATGCGACAGTTCAGACTTAGAGAAGTTTGGCCTTTTTCTTTCTGCAGCCTGCTCCATTCCTCTTGCTCGTCCCTGATTTTGGTGTGCCCGCAGGAAACTCACTCCTGCTAACAGGCTCGTGCCAGTTCACTTGGCACGTGCCCAGGAAGCTGCCTGTTCCATCAGGGTCAGTGGGTAGCTGTGAGAGCTGGCAGCTGAAGGCAAGCTGCTTCTTCCCAGCAGACAAACTCCCAGAGGCTTGAAACATGGCTTAGCATGGTCTGAAAGTTACACAAGAGAGCCACAGGCTACGACATGCCCTAGAAAACCCTGCCTGCAGTGATGTCTCTTGACAAGACATGATGGCTTAAAATTGAATCAGCACCCTTAAAGTTCAGAATGACAAGACTCACACAACAAAAGACACAGCAGATGTTAAGCACTTGTCCTTCAGGTGTCCATCAAGCACTCTGAGAGGTGCTGGCATCTCCAGGGGACTCCTGCTGGGGTTGGAAATAGGGCATTGCTGTCCAGCTCATCCTGTGGTCCTTGTTTTCGCCTCACTTTCTGGGACAAACATTTGGTGAAGGAAAATGATTTTTGGTAGCATAACTGGCAGCAGACAGGTTATCACCTTCGTGCTTTCCAAAGTTAACTCCTTACAGTAGGAAATTACTCTAGCTGGAAAGCACAAAAGCTCACCTGCTACACCCTCGCTGATGCCATGTCACAGTTCCCAAGAGGTCCGTGTCTGTTCCCAGTCCCCACCTGTCTGGCCTGCTGCACATCCCTGTGCTGGAGGATGGCAGCCACGAGGACACAAACATGCCCATGGGTGTGAGATCCTGCTCAACACAGATGCCTGATGGCCAGGGCTGGTGGTGCCCCTGCATGTGCCCCAAGCCTGCCCGCTCCCTGGCTGGGGACAGTGGGACAGCTCCTGACCATCAGACCCTGCCATAACTCCCTGCACTGCACCCTGACAACAAGGTGAATGTGGAGAAATATGGCACAGAGCAAATTTTTTTCCCTCATGTTCTCATCCCTTAGCTGGCAGATGCTTCAACAGCAGGATAACATGGAAAGGAAAATTATTTGCCTTGCTTTGATTTCTGTTTGAATTACTACATCTTTTGTATATGACTGTAGAATATTTTTCACAAATATTATTACTCTAGTCTCTGAATTTATAATTTCCAAAGCTGTTTAGAATTCTATCAGGATGGAAGTCTTCTCTCTAGATATATTTATTCAAGTGCTACCCAAACTGTTTTAGTGTTTCCCACGTAAATTGGCAGTGCTCTGTATTCTTCTATGCCACTGAAACTGTCATTCCAGGTCCTTCTTTGT